TCCTCTGGATTCAGCCAATTCTGAGGCTGGGATGGGGGCAGAGGACGCGTGCTGGTTGTTCAATACTGTCCCAAACCGTTCAGGGAACAGGGACCTGAAGGGCAGTAGCCGCCTGGACTCAGGAGAGCCCGGCTGGATCAGGCCAAGGGCCCCACTAGTCCAGCTTCCTGGATCTCACGGCGCTTCCACCAAATGCCCCTGGGAGCACAGGAGAGACCACGAGAGACCTGTCTCCTGATACCCCTCCCCTGCATCTGACACTTGGAGGTCCCTTCCTTTGAAATCTGGAGATGATACCTCCTCCTCCCCATCATGGCTTGTAACCTGTGATGGACATTTCTTCCAGGAATCCCCTTTCAAAGGCATCTAGGCCAGATGCCATCCCCACATCCTCTGGCAAGGAGTTCCACAGACTAACATTTTCTTTGTTCTGTTCTCACTTTCTCAACACTCAATTGGAGTGGATGTCTCCCTAAGCCCTGAAAACGGTAATTCTCTGTCCGTCCGTCCACAGTTCAGTTAGGATGCTGATCCACATTTGCAGGAGAGCTTCAGGCAAATAGGATAAAGGGTCTGCAGCAGAAGAGGGGCCAGGAGGCATGGCGAAGGCTCGTTTCTGCTTTGCAGCAAATGGACTTTCGATTCTGCCGCATGACGGTGAATGACATTCGGTTCGGTTCAGGGATTCAGATTCCTGGGCTCAGAATCATTGATTCAAAGGATTTCTCCGTTTTGCACCTGGATCTGCTGGTTGGTTCTGGACTGATGCCCACCCTTTTCAACAGCCTAATCCTTCTGGGGGTTAGCGTTTGTGTTTTGGTTTTTTTTGGTGCATTTTTTTGGTCTCGTGTGAACTCCTGGGGTGAGATTCTGGGTTACCCTTTGCCTCCTGCCCCAGGGTTCCTTGCCGATTTCCCAGGACAGGGTGTCCCTCATCTGCCAGGTGACAGATCTGCATGCAGAAGACCTTCGTGGGTGGGTTTGGGAGCCCTCAGGATCACTTCTCAGGTTGTGAAACTCAAGACACCCTCAGCCTGCCCTGCCACTGTAGGAAGGAGCATTGCCTTTTCAGGGAAGGCTGAAGGCAGCAGCTCCCGAGGCATCTCTGGGCCTGCCTCCCCACCCCCACCCCAGCCCAGAACCTGCTGGAATTCTAAGTCCACTTGTCGTTCAAGGCAAAGCGGCCCCCGAGTCCTGCCGCCTGCCTGCTGGAACCCCTGCCCAAGACAGAGGGACTGATTTCCCACCACCCCCACCCCTGGCACCTGCTGGGGCTGCACCAGGCCTCCTGAAGGAGCAATAAGGACCCAAAATGTCAATCTATCCATCAGTCCATCCATCAAAGGGAGCGGTGCCAGGAGCCCAAGAAGCTGTGAATTCCTTGTGAATTTGGGGTCTGTTGTGAAGCACTTTGGCCCCGTTTTTTCAAACACAGCTTTTCCTGGAGGCTTGCAGGAGCAGAAGAGGGATGTCTTTGCTGGTTTGTTTTTCGGTGGGAGGCCTCCTGGTATGTGGGTAGAAAAAGAGGCTTGAGGGGCCGTGGGTGGCCTGGGGCGGGGCAGGGGGGGCTAGATCTTTGCCTGTCCTGCCATGGCCTCCTGGCCCAAATCTTGTAGAGCAGGGGGTCATGCCAACCTTGGAACGGGAGAGGCCCGTCCTACGCGTTGGGCCTTCCGAGCTTGGGGGACGGGGGGACGGGAGACTTTTGCCAGAGAAGGAGGTGTGCTCAGGTGCCCAGCAGCACAAGGTCCTCTGGGAGAGCGAGGACTGGAGGGCCCCTGAAGGCCTGAGCTTTCTTCCTCCTCCTCCTCCTCCTCCTCCAGCCTCCCCTTAAGCCCCCCCTGCAAAAAAAAAATCCCCAAAGCAAGAAGAGAGACAAGGAGCCATGTGGGCTGCCTTTCAGTGCCTGCTGTTGGAAGGACAACAGCCGACTTCTTTCCTGACTGATGCCCACATGAGGCCTATGTTCGGGCCCTGGAGAAGAAGGGCACCCCTTCCTGGAGGAGGGCTTGAGGAGGGGGGGGCGTTGTCAGGGATGTCTGGGCAGAAGCAAATCAAGGCCTGTGTGAGTCCACTCCGGGTTTCAGTCCGCACTTCCCAGGAGCTGCCTAGGGTGCTAAGCCCATTTGGGGGCTGGGGTTCCCCACCTGGGTTAGCGGCCACAAGCATTTGGTCACGTAAAGACTCTCCACCTGGAACGAGGGAGCCCTGGCTTCGGTGGGCGATGGCCAGAAACGGTAGCCCAGGCTTCTAGGCCTCCTGACCTGCAGGCGCCGGCCCTCCTCCATGTCCCCTGGTTTCTCCTCCTGCCTGGAGAGCTGGGGGAGCAGAACCCAGTGAGCACCCTGGGACATCCGGCAGCCCTTGTGCCACACCTCGGGATCTCACAAAACAGGGGCATGGATCCATATTGGCTTCTGTGCTGTGCGTGGAAGTAGGGCTGATCTCTCCCAGCTGCTACCATTGTTCCCAACAAGCTCCTAGTCCATAACAGTATTTTTTGAGGAGGGAGGCAGGAAGGGGAGAGGCTGCAGAAGGAAGATGGGGACGGGAACAGCCCTGAACAAGGGTGTGCATCCATTTGAGGATGGAGGGTCTGGATCCAGGCAACCCCTGTGTTCAAATATAAGGAATTCTGTAATATTAAAGGAGGTACAGTGGTTGGACCTGGAAGAAGCTGCCCAGAGGGAAGAGATGGAATCAAAGGGTTCCTCGGGGACCCTCCCCAGAGTCCGGAGCTCCCTGGACGGAAGACCCTTCCTGGTTGTCTTTTCGATAGCAATGGGGGGGGGAGAGTCATTAAAAAAAACCAACAACAACTCAGGCTGGTTTTGGCAACTAACCAGCTGGTAAGGAGGCGACTTGTAATCTACCAGCTGAGTGCTGTACTTTTCTTAGGGATACATTTTCCATGCAGATTTTTAATACCTTCCAAATTTAATTCTAACAGCTGATCTTCTTTTGCATTTTAATTGCATCCCTCTTTGATTTCCTATTAAACGGGATCTAGGTTAGCCAGGTCCCTCCATGGTGCAGCGCATAGCGTGACAAACTAGGGACTCAGGACACCTGGGTTCAAATCCCCATTTGGCCATGGAGTCTTACAAGGGGCGAGGGGTGTGGAAGGGGGCCAAACCACTTTTCTCACTTACCCTGAAAGACCTACGAGGGCCTGGCTATGAGTCGGTTCTGGCTTGAGACATTTGGGCCACTTTCATGGACAGTGTTTCAGCCTGTTTGCTCGGGGTGGGGTGGGAGACGTATTTCGTGCTCCTTCTGCAGCCCCTTCCCAGAAGAGGAATCTTAACCCAGACCTGAAGGCCAAAACCCTGGAGCCCCCCCCCCCGCCCCCCCCAATCCTTTGCCCGGCTGTGAGCAATGCTCCCCCCCTTCTGCCAAACCTCTGGCCTGGGGCAACCAGACGGGGCGCATGCAGCGCAGGTCCTGGCTGAGGGACACTTCCGGAGGAAGAAGAGCTGCCCGCCTCCACCCTGAGCAATGGGCCACCTTTTCAGACCGCATGCGGTTGTGCTGAGCAGGCTCGGCCCAGCCGCTCTCCTTTCTCCCCTTAACAAAATCTCCTGTCGCTGACTTTCAAACAATCGCTGATGCTGCCCTTCAGGTGGAACCATTAAAAAGACCACCAACCGCTAGCAATAACTTTTCAATCGTTAAACGACATGGAGGTGAAACAGCTTGAGGACCCCTTCTTTGGGGAAGGAGCACATGGGGAAGGAGATCATGGGTTCTCCCAACCTGGAGGTTGTGACCCCCAAGGGGGGGGGGGTCGTGGCAAAGTGTTGTCTGTAGAACATTTTCACCATGAAGCTTTTCAACACTGATTTATTGCTCAGGCGCTAGCACAACCGTCGCGTGGAAGATTAGGTTAGAGTTATATTCTGAAAAATCTATTTTAATGTGTTTTCTTTACTCCATTGAGAATACATTTTTGTGGAAATGTGACGGTGGGGAATTGCACGTTACTTTATAAAATGGGGTCATGACTCAAAAAAGGTTGGGAAGCAGTGGTGTAAATATTAGGGGGAAAGAGCTTGTGAGGAAGCCACAGGCACCCCATCAGACCCTGACTGGGAGGAGCAAAGAGAATGTCCTTAGCTGTCGCACTGAATCTGTTTAGGGGGGGCTGAGCAGAGCACGCACACGCACACGCGCACACACACACACACACACACACACACACACACACACACAAGGGGGCACACACACACACACACACACACACACACAAGGCCAGTACAGGTGCTTTCTGGCTGTGGACAGAGAAACAGCTTCTCAGGACATTTAGCAAATGGTGGGCATCAGCGCATTCAAATGGGGAATCTTATTGGCTGCGTGCGTGTTCAGGCAGAAGCAGAGTTTCCACTTCCGAGCAGAACCAGTGAATCCACGTGACTAACATCAGCGTTGACTTCTCACTCAACATCTAATTCTGTGGCTCCATTCTGATTGAGAAAAACAGTTGCATTTGGGGTATTATTGTTCGTAAATCAGATTTGTACCCTGGTTTCCCCCACCAGGGTACAAGGGACTTGAGTTGATGGGCAACAGTAAGGAACCGTACTATTTAGCCTGAACTCTGTACCTGTGTATCCCCGACACCCCTGGCCCATCCTTGGCCGCGGCAACTTTGGCCGGTCTGCCTAAATGGCCGGGGACTCTCGGACCTGCGGGCTCCCAGGGGCAACCCCCCCCTCGCCATCACCTTCTGTTTGCGTGTGTGTGTATGCGATAGTGCAAGAGCCATCGTCTCCCACAAGATCTCCCTCTGAGGATTTCTGGTGACTTGGGGTGGGCAGCCTAGGGCAGATTGCTGGGTGCCTCTGAGCCAAGAAGCAATTTGGGCCTGGAAGGAATGGGGCTTCAGCTTGGTTTCAGGCCGGCAGAGGTAAGGAATGGGGGTTCGCCAAAGATGAGAAGGGCTGCCACAGGTCCATCTCTCTCTCTCTCTCTCTCTCTCTCTCTCTCTCTCTCTCTCTCAGGTGATGGAAACCCCAAGGAAAGCAGTCCTTTCATCAACAGCACTGACCTGGAGAAAGGGAAGGAATATGACGGGAAGAACATGGCCCTTTTTGAGGTCAGCTGGTGGGGTGGGGAGCATGGGACACCAGGTGGTGGGAGCCCGGGCGGAAGGTGGGGTCGGGTCCCTTCTTCAGTCACACGGCATCTGCTTCCTGAGCAGGAGGGGGCGGCTCCAGTGCCCGGCACCCAGGAAGAGCCTTCTTGGCCTGAGCGGCTGGGCTAGGAAGGGCCCGGCCGTGCACATCTCGGCACACTTTCGGGAATGTTTGGGTTTCTTCTGCGTCCGCTACACAGACCTCCGGAAGGCTCACAGGGAGCAAAAGCAAGCTTCAGTTCACCATGGTTTCGTGGCCCAAGAGAGGGACCCCCTAACTTCCCCTTTGGATCCTGTAGGAGGGCCATGGGGCTTTTCTCCACCTTTCCCCTCTTCTTTTGGTCAGCTGCAAAAGTCACCCCCTTCCTTGTCTCTCTACTCCCAGGTGGCAGTTTCTTCACTGCAAAGGGAGACAAGGTTTTTTCTGACCCTCATTTTTGGAAGGGATGCTCTGAGCTTGCACCGTCTCCCATTTTAAATCACCACGCCACCCTAAGCACAAGAGGAGTGACGGGGACTTAGGGTTGCAGTGATGAATCCCCCTGACTTTGGACCGGGAGGCAAAGTGAAAGCAGAAAGCAAAGTCAGAGGCCCATCTGTCACCAGGCCTCAGCCAGCTGCCTGCCTGGGGTGGAAGGAAACCCATGAGGGACAGATGGGGTTGGAGCCCCGTGGTGTCAGTCTGTGATGTGTGTGTGTGTGTGTGTGTGTGCAAGGGAGGGAGGGAAGGATGCTCATGCTTGCCTGCCTGGGTGCTGACCTGGGGGCCTGCTCGTCTCTGCCCTCCACCCCCAAATGCCTTCTGCTCCCCAGGAGGAAATGGACACCAGCCCCATGGTGTCCTCCCTGCTCAGCGGCCTGGCCAACTACACCAACCTGCCGCAGGGCAGCCGGGAGCACGAGGAGGCCGAGAACAACGACGGGGCCAAGAAGAAGCCGGTCAAGGTCGGTGGGTGGAGGGAGGGAGGGAGGGAGGGAGGAGGCTGGGTCCCAAAGCCCCCCAACCTTCTGCCCTGGGAGGCGGCAGAGCTCTCGCCCGTGGCCGCTAGGTTCGGGGCAAAATGACCCTCTTCCTCTGTCAGGCTTGGGAGTCCGTCCCCCCACCCACA